ACTTGTTCTGTTGGCAGCACGTGGTAGCTTCAATATTCTCACCAACGACGCAATTCAAACGCATCAGTCCTCCGGATTTCACTGTGTACGGGAAATATGTATGTAGCCTAGTCCAGACGCACAGAATTGTATACATGCCCTTCTTAGGAAAAGAACGATAACATGGAAGTTGCAGGTCTGAGTATGTGTGTGGTGAGGGCTCACACAGGTGTCCCTTAAAGCCACCACTGTGCCCTCCTGCTCCTGACCCCCCCTTTGGCCCTTAGCAAGGGTCTGCTCCCCACCCTTCAGATATTCTAGGGACAGGTGCAGCCCACCAATCAACAGCCATGGCCATTTCTGGAGGTGGGAGGAGCAGAGGTCTGGGCCCCTGCTCTTGGGCCATTGTCTTGTGAGTGTCCTGTGAGGGTGGTTTGAATGTTACCATGTGTCTTAAAGAGCTCTGGTGGTGTAGTGGCCAAGGCATCTGACTGCTGGGGTAGTTAAGGTCATGTGTCAACTTGGCTGGGCCTGGAGTGGCTGGGCAGCTGGAGGTAGTTATTCCCCATGACGAGATTAGCAATCAACTCTGTGGTGGAATCTGTCTTGAGCAGCTGAGTAGCTGCTTTAGAGATGTGGTCTGCTTCCTGTGTATAAGAAGTTTTGGGAATGGTCTCCAGCTTACGGCACGCTTGAACCCTGCATGTAGGCAAGTCATTGTTCAGCAGCCAGCCATGCTGATCTTGGGACTTCATCTGGACTTGAATTAGTGGCCTGCCACATGGTTTGGTAACATCAGGACTGTGCCTTTTTACTTGTCAACCTTTGGCATGCCAGCCTTTGCAGCCAGCAGCCAGCAGCTGTCTAAGTGAAGAAAAACCTCTAGCTTCAATGGGCTGGGAGCAGGAGGCAGAGCTGAAGCCCAAGGTTGAGGGGCTTTCACCCAGCCTCTAGAGCCTGGCACTTTGAACTTGGACTTAAAGCCTCCAAAATTGTAAGAGAATAAACTCCTGTTTGTTCAAGCCATCCCATTTGTGGTATATATTCCTGTCAGAGTGGCATTAGGTAACCAAAACAGCTGCTAACCAAAAGATCAGGGGTTCAAACCTACCAGCCACTCCACAGAAGAAAGATGAGGCAGTCTGCTTCCATAAAGATTTACAGCCTTGGAAACTCAACTGGGGTCTCTATGAGTTGGAATTAGCTTGATGGCAGTGAGTTTGGTTTTTGTTGGGTTTTGTGGATGAGCTCTGCAAAGACTTCCCACCATCCCCCACCCCTAGCAAATGGGGGTCCGGCCTAGCTTCTGCTCACCTTCAGGGTTGGGTCTACCCTGCACACCTCCCCAGTGACAAGATCCTTCTGCCAGCTCCAGGCACAAAGGCCTGTGTGCCTGGCCTCCTGGCTCAGACTGGGATCATGGGGTCCCAGCTGGGGTCCCTCCCCACACCAGGCTCAGGTTTGGATTGGGTGGAAAGAGCAACTCAAATGTTTGG